AACTTAGGTGCTACTAAAACCACGAGGCACGTTACCATTGGCAGCTGGCTATATCTATATTTATTCAGTTTGTGTTAAACTCATTTTCTATATTATATAAGGAAACAAATTTCGATACTCATCATATTCATGAACACCCTAAACTCATTAGACCTGAATCGTTTTATTTTATTTGGATAGTTTGGATTTGATTTTGTTTATTTTATTTGTTTAAAATAATTATTTTTAGGTATAGAATCTAAAATAGAAAGAGTCTCTTAACTATCATTCTTTCAAAAAATAGTTTTTTCTATTTAAAATTAATTAATTAAAAAATTTTAAATCTAGACGTTCTTATTAAATATTGATGGTCTGATGAGCTTAGCGTGCTCATTAAGTTGATGAGCACTAAAACTGGTTCCATATTACTACCTCCGATCCGTAATATAAGACCTCATTTGACTTTTATTTTGGTTCTAAATAAGACCCTAATCCATTTTATCTCTTATATTTATCTATTTTTTTCAAAGATAGTCCTTCTAATAATGGTAATTCTAGCCAATAAATTTGATTAGCAGGGATATTTTAGAAAAGACAACACATATTATACGAATAACTAACTGACTTATTTTCTTAATCTACTTAAATTAGTCAATTAACTCTTATATTTAGGATTGGAGGTAGTATAAGATAGCTCCAACTAATTACCATAATTAAAAAGCCAAGGTTAAAGTCATTAAATTATTAAAATAGAAAATAAATTTTATCCTTATTTAATTTGATTTATATTTTGTAGTAGGGGAATGATATAATGCTAAATTCTATGCTAGTAGGTAATGCAATTGCACTAGTACTGTAAACTATTATGCTTATGATATAAGTTAAAGATGAAAGTGAAGCTAATCTAACCAGTCTCTTTCGCGATCAACTTGATCGAACTCAATGGCTTTATCAACAATCCTGGAGTTTCCTTTTGCAGTTCGATAACGAGAGAGAGTGATCCAAATCTGATTGTGAAGCATCCGCCATAGCAACAGAGGAAGAATCAGAAAGTTTGCTAAGTCCCTTTCACTTTCCTCCTTCACCATCCAACTATATGTGCTCTGAATCGCCATGGTGCCAATATCACATACTGCCAAAAAAAAATTTCAACTCAGAGATGATATATATGCATGTGTGTGTGTGTGTGAACCAATCACATAAAGACACAATCTGCTTTCTTCAACACAAAAAAATCTTAATAATGCCATGGCCCTTTCGTGGTGTATTTTGAGGGGTAGGAGAGAGAGAGAGAGAGAGAGAGCTGCAATTTTTTTTTTTTTTGCTTTCGCATCCGATGTTTGTCCTGGCCAACCCTTCAGGGACGGACCAACCCATTTGGATCTATCCAATTACAAACCAAACTAATCCGGATCGCTAATTGTAGGTACCTCGAAGGGTGGGATAACTGGCCAGGAATTTTAATACTTTCTATGCCCAAGCAGGGATCGAACCCCCACCAATTATTCTTCCTGAAGTTAGAAATGCAAAGAAGTACTGATATTTTATACTTTATAAAACACCACTGATGTACCCCATCTGGTATTTAATATAAGATCCAATTTTGTAATACAAATATATTAAATATACACTACAAAATGGATTTAATATAATTTGAAATATGAGTTCTTAGATACTGCATAGTTTGTTGAAGACATATGTCTGTGCGTGCGTGCATGTGTTTAGATTGTATAAATGAGGAGACGGTGTGAAAAATTGACAGATGAGTGTAAACTATACGATGAAACAGCTCCCTAATTAAGTTGAAAGAACAATAAATAAAATAATAGCAAATTTCTTAACACAAACATCTCTATTATTAGTGCCCTTGCTCTTTGGTGTTTCTCTCATGTTTGCATGGTAAATGAATAGAAATATATTTACATACTTGGAGGGGTGTGTGCGTTGTGTGCGTTGTGTGTGAGAGAGAGAGAGAGATATATATATATATAGAGTGAGAGAGAATGTGTGTGAGAGAGAGGAAGAAGAAGAAGCTAAGAGAATGGGATAAGGTTGAAACTAACCTTAAAGCTTCCAAGAGGCTTCCATGGCCAATCAGTGAGGATTCCAGGTCTTGAAGCCATAGTTTTTGTGTCCGTCTATGACTAGGCTTTGCTGAATCAAAAGGCAAGAGAGACACCTATATATACACACAAACAAACACACACACTCTTAGGAAGGACTTGCTTTCCTTGAGACACTTGGTGCCTGGCTAACAATTAATATACACAACTACTAACAACAAATTCATCAGATGAAGCCAGGCCAATAATTAACTCGTACGTTTTGAAATTAAAATAGATTATTTTTTTTTTTATCACCGATATTTAATAACAATAAATCACTCTTCAATATATTTCAGATCAAGCTAACCCTTTTATCGCAAAGAAGGAAAAAAACATCATATGATTTATATATATTAGCTAAAAAAGATCAATAGATTTATATTATATATATATATATATATATATATAACCAAACACACAACTCACTGATAAAGTGCTACATAATAGAATCCAAAGTATGTCACATGTGAAAAATTTATTGAGAGAGCTTTAATTTACGGTTCTTCCAGCCGTATGGTCTATAAATCTTTTAATATATTATTATTTATTTTAATTCTTTTTCTATTTTTTTTTAATAGTATAAGTAATACTTCGCATCTATAGAATTATTTTAACTTGCGTTTTTATTCTATTTTTTCCGTATTATTGAACAGTATATATATCTAGAAATATAAAAAAGACACTACCAAAAAGTCACTTAATTAGTTATCTCTGAGATTTTCTATATTCACGTAATGACCCCACATTACGTTACTATTATTAATGAAATACAAACCACAATTTTGGGTTTCTCATTTATTGGTCTCATAAAAGAACGCGTCGGCATGGGTTGGCATGCAATTACATGTTTGCATGTGGCCAATGTGGGTCAGTCATTTAATTTAGTTGAGTAGGAGATGGAATATTTTATTCGTTGAATGTGTTAAACATTAAATATTAATCATATTAAAATAATTCTACATTACTAATAGGATTAGATCTAGTAAAAAGAACTAATTTTTCTAATATGATGAACCAAGATTTAAATTTTTGTTGAAGAAGTGTTTTAAGAAAAAATTAATTCAGCATTTGAACTTCACCCCCTATTTATATTGATAACTTTACTTTTTACTTGGTTGTTTTCAAATCCACGTAAAAAAGTACATTTTTATAAACTGCAAAAGTAGTATTATAGTTGTTGGCAGAAAAAATAGTAATATAATAATTGAGGGCTTCATCCATATTTACACTGTAGTGTGGTTCATTATCTTTGAAAGATCAAAATCAGTGAAAAGAATTTTTATAATCAAAATATTAATTTGTTCTTAAAGTTATTGCCGATTATATTTATCGAAACGATTCTTTTACTGAAAATTAGTTTATATCGCTTTACTTTATTATCCAAAATTTTATAATATTTTGCATATATTTACAGCTGTATTTTTTACCCATGTCTTGATTATATTTGTTGAGCGCAATTCTTATTCGTATTATATTCTCGGAGAACATGTACTTTTCTCAACTACTATATTTAAGTTCAAAAGACAGGAAAGCAGTCCAAAAATATTTTAAACAGACAGGGATATAAATTATTAAACGATACGTTCATGTTCAACCTCGTACTTTTTTGAGATTTTAATTGAGTCCCCATCGAGCTTCTTAATTATGTCCCTATATAATAATATAACTTTTTTATTATTAACAAAAAGCCCTTTTTACACTTTTTAGCCTTTATACAAGTCCTTATGTTTAGGTTTTGTCATGTCTTTGTCATATGTTGAGCTTTTAATAATTCGGTACAAGTAAATTTAAATTGCTGCCTGAACAATTAATTCTTTCTAATCGGTTCGTCTTTTTGTGACTCGTTCATTTTTAGTTTTGGTCCAGTAAACTTTCCTAAGCCATCTTTTTCATGGTTGCAATAAAAGGAGACATAAATAGTGATTGAATTAATGGAAGAAATGAAGAAAATAATAATCTTATAATAAGCAAAAAATATTAATTTTTTTAAAAAAAAGAGACATGAATGCCATTTGTTCGAGGGTCGTACTCGTACGTGGTCCTTATATTAATGGAGCGATTATTATAAATCTGTATGAAAATGTTTTATTACAAATCTATATTTTTATTTTCTATTACTTTTGTTAATAATTTTTATTTGTTATTAATAATTAATTTAATTTAAGTAATTATTTAGTAATTTATTTGTTTTCAACATGAACATAATCTGAAGTTTAAGGGATTAAGTATAATTTAGCCTTGATATAAACATACTAGGAAAACTTTCTTTCAGTTGGGACCTGATCTGTCTCTAATTTCAATTGATCGGTAATATTAGATTTCAGATATTCCCTTTGGCCCTTAGTAATAAGGACGTATTAATTATTTTACATAAATTTAGAAAATTGGCAGGTTTCTTTTGGCTAAAACAATCTCTAATCAAGTTAAAAAATGATAATTCTTTGATAATCCTAGTAAAAAAACAAAAAGAGAAATCCTTATTTCAAATTTTAGCATACATATCTTTTTTTGTCTTTTATAGTTCGAGAGAGAGATTAAAATTGTAACAGTCATTATTTAATCTAAAAGTGAAAAAAATAAATTATTTTTTAAAATAAGTCATTTATATTTATTAAATTTTATAAAATATATCACATTAAAGACGATGAGAATATGCCTTATAAATAGAGCAAGGAGAACGAATTAGTTAAAAAAATCAAAAAATAAAAAAAAGAAAACATTTATTTTAATTTGCACTACTTATATATTCTCAATCAATTTTTAATTTAGTATCTATATATTTTTTTCCTCTTAATTAAATCCTTTAATTTTATTCTGTTAATACTGTTAACTCGTAAACCCTATCCAAGAGCTAACAGGTGCAAACAAAGACAAAGACGATATATGATGATGGTACAAATGTGTGATATACACATTATGATTGCAAGTAGCCGCAGTATGTTTCTATTTCTATCCAAAAGATGTCTTTTTTTTGTCTCCATATGTTATTGTGTGGTTTAGTGTAATTCCTAGTGGAATCACGAGAGTCTGATCTACACACACACAAATACATACATACATACATACATACATATATATATATGCTCTTGCTTCAAGCATGTGTTCTATCAATTTCTGGTTCCCAGAAGTTCATCAGAAACAATGAAGAAGACGTATTTGATGATGAGTATAATAATCCAGCTAATTAAACTACCTAGAAAATAAAATAGAAACACGACAAATCCTCCAAAAAATTAAAGTAATTCTAAATTAAGAATTTCAGAACCAGGAAAAATATTAGATATTTTTCGTGAGGTCAAACATATTATGAACCATTTGAATCGAGCTATCCCTTTCACCAGCCAAAAATATCAGTTATTGTGACGAGCATGAGCCCAATGGGAGAGCCCAATCCCAAAAGACTAGCCTATTGGGAGAGAGAGCCCATTAAACTTATAAACCCCACAACATTTGAGATTTCCCATGTGAGACTCATAACAGAGCACCCCTCTCAGAACTGACGTCCTCGGCGGCTCCACTCTACGCCACTTCACTCGGTCTTCTTCTTCCGGTCAGAACCCTTCGTAAGTAGCTCTTTCCAGTTGACCGACTCTCAATGAAAGCACCAATGTGATGAGCATAAGCCTAAGGGGGAGAGTCCAATCCCAAAAGATTAGCCTATTAAGAGAGAGAGTCCATTGAACTTATAAACCCTCACACACTTGTGAGATTCCCTAATGTGGGACTCATAACAAAGCACCCCTCTCGAGAGCCGACGTCCTCGGCAGCTTCACTCTACACAGCACTTCACTCGGTCTTCTTACCGGTCAGAACCCTCCATAGGTTGCTTATACTCATCACAGCATATGGCTTGCTTCTCAAAACTTCACAAGTCCTTTTCACCAGATGCCACAAACAAATCTTATAATTTTATTGTAATACGTAACCTTCCTTTCTTCAATTTTTTTCCCGTAGCATCCCCACTCTGCAGCCTTCACTGATTGGTTTGTTTTCAATGTCTGAACATTTTAGGTTTTGGTGATCCATTTGAAATTCTGCACAATCAACTTTCTAGAATAATTAGATACTACTACCTTTTGTTCTTCATGTAAAAACTAGTTTGACATTTAATTTGGTCATAAATATAATATTCCAATTCTATTTATCTCTCATATTTGTCCTTTTTTTTTTGTTAAAACTAGTCCTTGTAGTAGTTAGATATGTTAAACGTTAGGGTAAACAATATCCATTCATTTTGAATAACTAATTTAACTAATTTTTTTAATCTACTCAAATTATTAGTCAACTAGCTAGCTCTTATATTAAGAACTATAAATAAGATTAGGATGCATTATAAATAAAATCAGGATGCTGAATGCACTAAAAAGTAACATCAAAGTATTGAATGCACCATAGATGAGATGGGGTAAATATATGAAAAATTTCACCTTCTTAAAATATCATCATAGGGAGTGCCTCTCTGAGTTATTCCTCACTTTAAAGTTTTCTAGTTATCTCTCCTTCTTTTTTATTCTTTCTTGTGTGGTGCCACTTAATATATATGAGTAAGAATGCGAGGTTGATGCATAAGTAAAAAAAAATATTTTATTCGATTCTTATAAGAAAAACAAAATCTCTTCTTCTATTTATTTTCATTATCTCTTTTTAATAACTTTGTGACTGCATTATATATAGTTAATAGTTGGTTTGAGATTGTAAATAGCACATTAACACCGGTCTTGATATAGTATTTTACATTGAACCCAAAACGCAATCAAAACATTTTTTTTAAGAAAATATTTTAAACACATTTTAGACGGAACCAGTTTTGATGCCATTGCAATAAATAGTATCATGATACTTATAAAATCTATATCATTCAGCTACCTTTTTAATGATCATAATTTAAAATTTTTAACTAATGATTTTCAAATAAAAATGATTTTTTAAAAAAAATTATATTTATTTTGAATTATCTACCTATTAAAAAAATTTAAATAATATATTAAAAAAATTACATCTTGATCATTTATATTAAATTTGAAAAGTTGAGATTTGATGGTCATCAAGATGCTCACCACTGCGATAAGAACCAAAACTGGTTCCCATTTTAGATTGCCTTGATCTATGCCACCGGTCAAGAATATGCTAAAAATGATGTTTTATATGTGTGTGTGTGTGTATTATTTTTTGAAATTATTTTAGTTACCTTTTAGACCAGACTTAAATGTAACCCGTTTAGAAAATACATTGTTGGACAGTTAGACCGGTTAAGTAAACAACCGAAGTAGAAAATACTTATCTAGAGCTATTGTTATCTTAACTGGTCTAAAAATTTAACATTTTTCAAAGCATTCATTACTTCTAACCCCCCTTTTGAACACCTATAAAGAGCATAATGTGATATAATTTTAGCAGCCTGTTCAAATATTTTAATTGTATTATGTATAACTCTATTTAAAGTTTAAATAAAGCTAATAAAAAATTCAATATCATTTGGAGTAATTAAAAACCAAGAACAGGGCTATTCAATGTTAAATAGAATATACACACATAAATACATACGTCATTGCTAAAAAGATGATTACATCAATGAAAGTGCAACAATGATAACAAAATGTTCATATATTGATCACACCCAAAAAAAGTATTATGAAGCCAATATGGAAAAAAAAAGATCTTTAAGCTCTTCATCTTCCTTTCCTTCTCCTCCTTCGCATCATCATATGTCTTCAGAAGATGAAGACTTATGAGAAATCGGGTCAAAAACAAAGTCGATCTAAATACTAAGATGGTCAATAATCTTGTTCATCTTATATTAATCAGATTTTGGGCATTAATTGGTATATAGCCGATGATCTTTGCCTCTTTATTGGTTTCAGATTGTGTTGCGGAAGAGTGTTTGGATCTTGTCATGGTTTTTGAAAGGAAGTTTTTAGAGGTTATATATAGTTTGGATAGGGAGAGAACAAGTAGGGCTTCTGAACGATCGAAATATGAAGAGTTATCACAAGGCACTACCACAAGTAGAAGTTGTGCATACTTTCATTGACGCATAGATTCCTACAAATTATATGTCCAGATGTCCCGAAGCTTAATTAGGTCATAAATTTAATTAACAAGAAGAATATAATTGAAATAAGTTGAAGAATCTGGCGCTCATTAGGGGTTTTACCATTCCTAATTTCTTATTAGGGCCATTATTCATCTAAAAAGTACTCCTCCGGTCTTAAATATAAGACCCCTTTTGTAGTGTAAATTACACTACAAAAAGGGTCTTATATTTAGGACTGAAGGAGTATTATTTAGACCTTACTTATGAGGAACTGATCATATTTTCTAAACTGTATATGCAATGACCAGTCTAGAAAGGGTAGTCTAAATCACCTTTTTCTACTAGTGAATCTAATTCACAATTGTTTTTAAAAAAATACATACATGCGTTGTATTCTTAAAATGAGAGAGTATCCAGGGGATTTGACTTCCCTCTCCACACATTTTTTATTTTAGTTTTAAAATTTTCAGATCAAATTTTAACTATTTTATTTATTTATGTTTAATATTATGGTAATTTTATATTATTAAATATCAGCCATTGCAAATATCCAAGGAAAGGAAGGTAGAAGGAGAGTAGAATGATGAGGATAAGGTGGGAGGGGAAAATCCAAATCCTTATCTATTGTAGTCTTTTCTTCTCCCGAAAAAGTATGAGAAACTTTTATACATCCTTGATGGCCTATAAACTCTCAAATTAATTATCTAAATTAACCTTATATGGTATAGATGTCAACCTAGGTTATTTCTCTCTGTGATGAGCTTTGTTAAGATTTTGAAAATCTTTTTAATTAAAGAGAAGGAAGAAGTAAGAAAGAAAGTCGATTGATTTTTTAGGAAAATAAATTGAGAAAAAGAAGGAAAAATAATAAAAATTAAAAGAGAGTATAAAGGAATGAAGAATTTACCAAAATGATGCACTTTTCAAGGATGTTGATGCATGGCTATCACGGTTCAAGAGGATGAAGAGTTTGCATAAAAACAGTTTACTAAGTCAAAAGAAAATCTTAGATAACATCTAAGTCATGATTAACCAATTAACAATTATATCTAGAGAGCTAGCATATAATTATCTTTCAATTAATCAATTAAAAACCACTTAGCTTATGAATACAATTAAATAATTATATCTTGCTTCTTGAAGAGAGTTATATATCTAAAATCCTAAAGCATGAACTACTTGTGCCAATCAAAATAGAAATCTATAAAGATAAATACTCATAAAATCATGAGGAAACTGAAAATATACTCATTGAAAACTTCAAAACATAATTGTTCAACTAAAACACAAATTTAATAACAATCCATAGAAATAGAAATCCTAGCCTAGAAAATTCATGAAAGCAACATACTCGTGGATTGAAATATGAAAACTAAGAAACACCCTAATATAAACAGGAACTCAAGTCACGTCATCTTGTCCTTAGGAACGAAGAGGACTAGCCACACATATGGCTAGATGACACGATAATAATAAAAAGAAAATAATAAGAAGAAGACAGTGAAACAACTAGATACAAGAGGAAGCCAAGTGCACGCTTGTGTTTGTGTAATGAAGATGGCTTTGTTTCTTTCCAGGGCTCCCCTAGTCTCTCCTTATATAGCACTTAAGTTTGTCCTAATTGGATGAGAAAACCCTTGAGAATTGTATATCCTTCTTGCTTGATCGTTTTTTCTTTTACCTTGTAATCATGCTGATCTCTTGCCTTTGAGGGAAATGATTTTATTTAATATGTCTTCAATTCAAAAGATGGGATTTGAATTTGAATTCTCTTGATTTGGTGTGATCTTCGTGGCAACCAAAAAGAAAAGCTTTTGAATTTAAATGATAATGAATAAAAGGATGATATTTCAAATTTGAATAAAAATATGATGTTGGATGAACTAGAGTTAGGGTTTATGAAGAGGAAAAAGATGATAATGTGAATATTTGAAAATTTAAATGGATAATGGATATATAAATAAAATATTTATTTAAATTCAAAACACAATAAATGAATTATCTAAAAAAAATTAATTATTTAAGCTCTTTAATTTAGGGTGAAAGGCAGGAGATATTTTGACTGGATATTTTGGATAATTCCAAATTAAATAATTGGAAAATTCTCTTTTAATGCTAAGTGGCTACCACAAATATAGTTTTCAAGGTATGAGATGTTTTGTTCAACGGAATATTTCCTAGAATCAGAACAAAAATACCTTTTAAAAGAGAAATTATAAAAATGTAATAAAAAACACTTTTAAGTAATTAATTTATATAATTTTCTCAATTCAAATTATGAGTATCTATTATATTTTAAACCCTTTAAACGATATAAAATTCCTTAATTATATATAAAAATATATTATAAAATAGGGATACATCAATCCTAAATAGAAAAAATCACAATTTGAGTGATGTTTGTTGAAGCTGCAGTAGGTAACGTCAAGCTGCTGAATTAAAAGTTTTATAAATTATACAAATTAAAATTCTGCCGCCATCAGATAAGTAGATATGATATGATTAATTGTTGGCAAAAAAAGATATGATAGGATTAATTATTATTAATAGATATTAGATTGAGTAATAAGGTGCTTAATATCTTTTGATTATGATTTAAAGTTTCATATCTCATATATGAAAGAAAAATTGATTGAGACAGTTTCCTCCTAACTAAGGCATAATTTATTGTTTGATTGTTATTAGGACTTCTAACATGTCTCTTATCATAACATGTTATATTTTTGTAAAGCAATAAGTTTTTATCTAATATCTCTAGCAAACTATACAATTTTCTAGCAAAATAAACAAACTCTTTTAGCTAATGACTTTGATTGATAATGATTTTAATTTTTTTTACATAAATAATTAGTTTTAACTGAATTCCTTAGTTTTATGTATAGTTACTAATAGGTTCTTATATATAAATAATATTGGAGCGAGTAGTAAATACTTCCTCTAACCCTTTTCATAAGAGCAAAGAACTCTATTTGGTCATTAAGAGAACCTCTCGATTTCCTTTAAATTTATTTATATACATTTTTATTATTTGATATTAAAATAAATTTTTATATGATATTAAATGATTAAATCTTAACGGTTAAAAGTTGCTATAATGGTGATAATAAAGAAGTGGAAAGCAGCCAATAAGAGTTGATCTAATTAGTAAGGAGTCGGCTCATAACCCACAAATTTGTGAATTCGAATCCCACTGTAAGTGTGAGGACCTTTTTGGTAGGCAATCTATAAATACCTCTGTAAACACTTTCTGAGCCTGGAGATATGTTCTGGTCTTAGTGAACGCCTAGTACCCAACTCACTTAAACTTTATTTATATCCACACGAAAAAGGAAGTGGAAGGCAGTGGACGGTAAGAGAAGTGGAGAGGTTAGAAAATTTAGTTATCTATTAATGTATGGTTTTCAAAAATACCTTTGATAACAATAATTTTAACTATCTCTCTCATTAATTATATTGAAAAGAGAAAACTGAGGATGGCAATAGACTAGTAACTACTAACTTTAATTAAGGATATTTTTGGAATGTTATAGTAATTTTTAAAAAACTGAAGCTTTGTAACTAATTTTAATTAATGTCTTAATTAGTCCACATAATCCCATTAAAAGTCCCCATAATGAGTACTCCTCTAGTTCTATTTATAAGGAAGAGAGAGAAGACATTTTTTGGTCTTATTTATAGGGTACTGAGAGAAATTTTTTATATGGATGTACAATTTTACCTCTCATTTATTATTTCGTTGACTTTGTTTACATGAGGTATACTCCTTTGGTCCTATTTATAAGGCACTTCCAGTATGTTTCACACAGACCAAGGAAAACCTTAAACTTCATTAACTCTCATTTAAAATTTAATGACTTTCCAACTTTATCCCTATTTAATATACATTATATCTTATATAAACAAAGTCAACACAATAATAAATGAGGGGTAAAATTGTACATCCATACAAAAAATTTCTCTCAGTGCCCTATAAATAGAACCAAAAAATACCTTCTCTCTCTGCCCTATAAATAGGACCAGAGGAGTAATGTATATTAAATAAGGATAAAATTAGAAAGTTATTAAATTTTAAAATAAGAGTTAATGAAGTTTAAGGGTTTTCTTGGTCTGTGTAAAACATGCTGGAAGCCTGGAAGTGCCTTATAAATAGAATTAGAGGAGTAACAAAATATTTAATATTAAATTATATCAAAAATTTAATTACATTATTAATTATGTATATAATTAATATCCTAGACCTCGTATTGGTGATGTCTATGTTTCTCTAAATCAAAAGGAGTTGAATTGTTGAAGTGACAGGGTTGGTAGTAGATGATATTTATTTTCTCTAAACGTAGCCAACTTTTGCACGAAAGCTTGGTTATATTAATTAGTTCCAACATTTATATAATGAAATCTGAGAAAGTTTTCTGTTTTCTAACCAAGAAAGAACAAAAGCTCGTCTTTATATTGATGATCTTCTCAGACATAGCATTTAATACTTCAACAAATACAGTTAGGCCTAAGAAAAATCTTCATTGCTAGTGATAATGACATTCATGTTAGGAGAAATCAGAGGCAAAACCAAAAAATAAAAAGAATTGTTAGGAGATATCAATTAAGACTTCGGGCCCATTTGCCTATGAAAAACACCACGGCAATGTGTGGGAATAGAATTAGATAAAATAATCGCTCGACCTGGTCGCATGATATTAAAATAATTTTTAAAAATTTATTTTTTTACATTGAGAAAATACACACACAGTTGATGGACTAGAAGCAGGGCTAACTTCTTTATTTTTTAGTCAGAAATATTAGTTCAGACTTTGTTTGTCTAATTATGGTTTATTCTTTTGGCCAGAAGGTTTAATTATGGTTAAATTGGTTTTAACAAATTAGCAATGTTTTTTAATGTTCATATCAAAATAAAATTAGAAGTTTAACTAATTTCTTTAATCACCTTTAAGTGATGATGTTTTGAACAAAGTCATAAAATTCATTGTTCTAAAATTATGGCACCTACTAAGTCAATAGAAACACTTACTATTTAATAATTGAATTACTGGCAAAAAAAAGTTTGATATAATTGAATTATTCTCAGAATAATTATAATCAAATTAACATATTTCTAATTCTGTCAGCAAAAAGATAATATATTTTTAATTTAATATATATTTAAGATATTTTTTATTAATTATTATTTCTTAAAGTATATTTATTTTGTTTGATCTGATTAAAGCATATTTATTGATTCTTTATCATTTTTAATGATTTTTCACCATTTTTTACTGTTGTCAATTTTCGGAGCATTATTCCAAAACAAGTCATGATATGCTTCGCTAATTTGTCGTTTAAACCAGCTAATTTAGTCGAATTTTTATTTATTTTTCTGCCAAACATTAAGAAAAACATTGATCTTATTAATGCTTTCCAACTTTGGCTAAATTTTCTCTCCATCATAATATTTTAATAATTTAGGAAATATTAGTCACACGAGGCCAGGGGGTAGAAAATGTGAGGTGGGATGTGAATACGTAATGTATAAAAAGGTAATTTTGAAAATATTAAATGTTTCTTTTTAGCAAAAGAAAATATTGAATCTAAATCCTCAATGTTTAGTTTGAATAGCACTAAAAATTATAGTGTAGATTAGGGGTGAAAGTAGGTTAGGCTCTTATTAAGAGGGTTTTAGCGAATTGGTCAAATTTAGACTCATGCTTATTACCAAGCCTATAATAGACTAAACCTATTTTCATAAGAACTAGCCTATAAACTTACAGGTCTAACTTATTTATTTATTTTTTATATGCATTATTATATATAATATAATTTGAATCAAGCTATAATTTAGCCTTAACACTAAATTTCACATCCCATTATTTATACACAAGCTCAATCCTTTCATTTATCAACTGCTTACCTCTCCCTCTCCTCTTTGATCACTCAAGACAGCAACGCTAGGCCACTCCCTTTTTCCTTGTTTGCATCATTTGCTGAAGCATAATAATTTTTGTATGCTTATGTTACTGATATCCAAATGAAATATTATAATCTTAATAGAAAAAAATTGTTCAAGTTTTTACTGTAAAAGCAAAAAAGATAAAATTCAGTTTTACAAGCCACCTATTGTATTCGGTTCATTTTAAAAAATATATCTCTTTAGTTAATGGATGATTGGTTTAAGCTCAGGCTTTAGACCTCCGTTTTAGGCTCAAATCTATTTAGTTAAAGTCTAGCTTAGCTTACCTATTTTCATCTCCAAGTTAGGTTTTCTAATTATTCTTGGAGAGGCTATTTATGATTATCGTTGTTAAAGTTATCTAGTAGCATATGAATTACCTATAGTCTTAATTGCTTTAAATCTTCACACATGGATTAATTAGCCGATTCTTTTGTTGATTTTATTTGCAGTAGTTTTACCAAAATAATAAAATCCAGACAAAATCCACGTCATATCCAGCATTAATATATTATAGAATCTCTCCAAAGAGAGGACAGTTCTTAACTCTAGGTTAATACGAAAATAGCTAATTAAACTATTTGAGTGTGTGTGTAGAAACCTAACGTTTTGCAAGCTACCTTGTAAAAGTAGGCAGGGTATGCCCTATATGTTATGCATGTATAGTTTATAGAAAACTATATTATATTGCGGTATTTATAGGTAGTTGTACATTTATATATATTGCAATTTGGTTGTTGGGCAAATAAGTAAGGAAAGCACTATATAAATCCTTGGAATCCTTTCGCTACAATAATCACAGCTCCCAATATGGCTTCAAAACCAGGTATTCTCACGGATTGGCCTTGGAAACCTCTTGGCAGCTTCAAGGTTTACTTTCTGCTATTTCTCATTCCTTAATCTGATCCTACTCCTTCTTCGTTAATATAAAATGTGTCCTATAGAGTCACAGTAGATCTTATTACTCCTTCTTCATCTGCTTAATTCTAATCCATTAATTTAGCTCAAGAGCGAGTCGAGCTTTATTCACATGCTTTTTGAGAGTGATAAAACCAAACGAGAAAGTCACATGCATATCATATTTTCATTTTGGGTTAATATTATCTTTAATCCCTGAAATTTAGAATCATTTTGGTTTTCATCCTTAAAATTTGAAACCAATATTTTGGGTCATAAAATTTAACTTCATTTTGGGAACCAAAAATTTTTGGTCCCTGAAACAAGGTTTCAAGACCAAAACCACTCGTTTCAAATTTCGGGAACCAAAAACAAAATAATGTCAAATTTAAAGGACTAAATATAGTATATATAAATAGTGTTATTTACACTATAAACTAGCTTTTATATTTAGGACAGGAGATTGTATGTGTGTGTGTATATTGAAGCTGACAATTACTTTGTTGTCTCTTTTCTTTTCTCTCTCAAGTATATGATACTGGTGCCGTGGGTTGGCCATAGCCTGTATGCTCTAGCGTGCAGTGAGCGAAAACCATATTACTATTTGATATTCCCATTTCTTTTGCTGAGACTGCTTCACAATCAGATTTGGATCTCTGTGTCTCGTTATCTAACTGCTCAAGGCACTAACCGAATCGTTCACAGAGGCCTTGAATTCGACCAAGTTGACAGAGAAAGTAACTGGTGAGAGCATTTAACAATAAACTCATCCCTTTTTTGGCACTCTATCTTTTGCTTACTGATGTTCACTTATTTTTAGTATGCTTCTATATATATATATATATATATATATATATAGTTATTTTGAAACATATTTTAGAGTCTCAATAAATTAATGATGACGACTTAATTTGGAAGCAGGGATGACCGGATTTTACTAAATGGACTCTTGATGTACTTAGCATCTATGATACTTCCTGAGCTCTTTCATCACTTACCCTATTGGAGATCAAATGATGTGGTTATCACAGCTTTATTGCATGCTGGTCCAGTGGAGTTTCTTTATTATTGGCTTCACAGAGCTCTTCATCACCATTTCCTCTATTCTCGCTATCATTCTCACCATCATTCTTCCACTGTCACACAGCCTATAACTTGTACGATATATATTTTCATCACTCAAACTATCCATTCACATATATATATATATATAACAATGTTTTGTTCCATCATTTATTTAAGTTCTATCATTTGCATAATTGTGTATGTCTTTAATTATCTTTCCCCATATAAACAAAGAGAGTGGGTTACATTCTAGTTTAAATTATAAATCTTGATAGAATAATTTAGTTTGCTTAGCAAATAATTTATGCAAGTTGATATGCAGAGAAGCAAATCCACCATTATTCAAAGAAATTACTTGTCAATCAAAGTGGGGTTGGTCGAGGTGGTAGGTACCTTGTCCCCCTAACTAGAGGTATCGGGTTTGATCCTTTAAGAGACCCCTACCTCCTTTAAGAGACTTCAGTCAACTCAGGCTAAATTAGTCAAGCTCCTGGTCATAGGATCTGGATAGTGGTGGTTCCATTGTAATGAAGAAATGATTAATTATTCTAAATTAGTGAAGAATATTAATTCATTTGTCATATAAGGGTTGGGGCATACATGACAAACTTGGTTAAACATCTAGCCCAAGTCCGCGTTACATTAATAGTATGTTTTTCGGTAAGTTTTACATTGTAGTAATATATATATAGACACACACACACACACACATCTGAAGAATCTTCTTTCTTTGTATTGTTTTATCTTTTTACAGCTGTGATTCATCCATTTGCTGAAGTTGTAGCATATTTCGTGTTATTCTTGATCCCAATATCTGCAACAATATTCACAAGAACTATCTCCATAGCCTCCTTGTTTGGTTACATATTTTACATCGATCTCATGAACAACTTGGGTCATTGCAACTTTGAGTTCTTCCCAAAGAAGCTCTTCTCTATCTTTCCCTTGTTTAAGTACCTCTGCTACACGCCATCGTAAGTCTTTCTTTTTGGTTTTATTCTATTATTTTACATAAATATATATTTGAAAATTTAAGTGAAAAATAAAGATTACCACACTTCATTCACTTTAATTACTACTACATTCAGTCTTTAATATAAGAGCTAGAAGTTGGATATTGGATTTGGTTCTAAATAGAAGTTCTTAAGCCACTTTGTCTCCTGAATTTATAACTCATTCTTTAAAGTATTCCTATTGACTACATATATCAAAAGGTTTCCATCCAAAGGTAGTCGCAATGAAAAAGAGTATTTTAGAAAAATCAACTCATATTTATTACAAATAACTAACTTAACTAATTTTCTTAATATACTCAAATTAGTAAAGTACTTCTTATGTTTTGAACTGGAGGTTGTAGTTTATAAATTCAAGAGATTTTTGATAATTTAATTGTAGCATGTAGTGATTTTTGTAAATTTGAGGCCACAGGTTTCACTCATTGCATCACACCAAGTTTAGGACAAATTACTCTCTTTTCATGCCAATATATGACTACATTTATGGCACTGCGGATGAATCCTCAAATGATACTTATGAAATATCTTTGAAGAAGCCAAAGGACTTACCAGATGTGGTTCACTTGACCCACTTAACAACGCCCGATTCTATCTATCATCTTCCTGTGGGGTTTGCTTCTTTAGCCTCAAACCCTCAAACCTCAAAATGGTATCTTCATCTGATGTGGCCCTTCACATTTGTTCTTAACCTAATGGCTTGGATCTATAGTCGTACCTTTGTCTCAGAAAGAAACACTTTAGAAAAGCTCAATTTTCAATCATGGGTGGTACCAAGATTTACAAAACAAGTAAGTATTTGGCCTTAATTAATTCAACATGAACTTAATTTTAATCAGTTGAAAAACTTCATTGAAACGTTCTCCTTTTGTATGATATGCAGTATCTCTTAAACTGGCAGTGCACAGGACTGAACAAGATCATTGAAGAGGCAATTCTTGAGGCTAACTCACGTGGTGTTAAGGTGCTTAGTCTAGGGCTTTTGAATCAGGTTAGTTCACATCATTTTTCCTCTATTATTTTTATTATATTTTTAATTGTTTGAAATATTTAAGCCTGTAATTATATGATTAAATGCAGAAAGAAGAGCTGAATGCATATGGTGAATTATATATTCAAAAGTTTCCAAAACTAAAGGTAAAGATTGTAGACGGAAGTAGCTTAGCTGCTGCTGTTGTTGTGAATAGCATTCCCAAAGGTACAAGTCAGGTGCTTCTTCGTGGCAACTTTGATAAGGTTTTCTTCTCCATAGCCCAGTCTTTGTGTGAAGCAAATGTGCAGGTAAGCTGCATAATGGTGGGATATTTCTAATCTCGAACTTCTTTTTCCGGCCGGGAAAGAAAAATCTTAAAATGTTTTAGATAAATTACGTTAATTAAAATCAGGACTTATTTCATGATTGATCTAAATCTCTATTTAGCAAAATAATTTTGAAATGACCTGATGATGGAGAACGAGAGCAGAAAGGGGGAGAGACAAAAAGAAATGAGAAACAAAAGCACCAGATAATTTGATGAAGAGGAGAAACTTGAAGGAAAAAAGGGAATACTCAAATGTTAATTTTTACTCACTTCATAATGAAAGACATAAAATGAGATGTATTAATACCTATATATAGATACGGTGGAAATAGGACAGACGATCTGTTAGGGACTTGTGGCCTAACCTAGCTTGTTTAAAAATAAGAGTAGGTCCAAGCATCTTTAAAGCATGTTTCACTTAATAGAGCAGACTCAGGCTCTTTGAAAAGCTTATTAAACCTATCATGTTTCTAAAAAAAACCTAGGACAAGCCACAAGCCAACTTGTTACAATACAAACTTGACTTATTAAAGGTAAAGCTTGACCTAGCTTGATCTGTTTTTGCCCTAGTCAAATGTAAATATTGTGAATGATAATAATAACTATTGAAAGATAGCAATTGTTAAAGTAAATCTGTGAACAATAAAATTTAGTGACATTGTCCATTAATAAAATGTATGACAAATGCTAAATTGATTTAATTCATTCATCACCAAATTCTATTTGCAGGTAGCTATGCTATACCAAGATGAGTTTACAAAGCTTCACGCCAGACTCAACACAAAGCCCAAAGAAAGTTTTGCTGCTTCAACAACTACCAGTCTGAAGGTGAATCCATTTGGTCAAACTCAACTTAAACAAATTAATTAAATAAAATATTATAGATTCAATTTGATTATTTCTTCAGGGATAAGATTTAAGCATACTTATTTTAAATTTTTGTAAAACCTTTCAATCATAAATAACAAATGCAAAAAATAATAATAATTAAAAAAAATTTCCTCCTTTTGGAATGATTTTTAGAGGAAGTATAACATTTTTGCAGATATGGTTGGTGGGAGATGGATGGGATGAAGATGAACAGATGAAAGCACCAAAAGGCTCATTATTCATTCCATTTTCTCAATTCCCTCCAAAGAAAATCAGAAAAGATTGCTTCTACCACTATACTCCTGCAATGAGGGTCCCTCCTTCGATCAAGAACATGCATTCTTGTGAGGTTAGTACTCTATGCATATAGTTTCAAACATATAATTTAATCATGGACGCTTCAATATATTCAAAAATGCCTAATAATACTTAATGTTTTCATTTTGTATATATGAAATCTCATTTTTCAATAATTGAAGACTTGGCTGCCAAGAAGAGCAATGAGTGCTTGGCGTATAGCTGGAATAGTGCATGCCTTAGAAGGATGGAAAGTTCATGAGTGTGGCTCCACAACTTTTAGTCTTCATAAAATATGGGATGCAACTATTCGTCATGGTTTCCAACCTTTGGACGCACTCTACAAACCGACGTAAAAAGTCCTCCCTGATTAACGTAAAACGCCCTAAACCCTACAATAATGAAATGAAATAAAGACTCTCTATTTCGAGCTACTTCTAATTGTATTGTTATATTGTCATATGGTTCTCAACCTTTAGGGGGAGACTACCTTCGATTAAGTCGTCGTCGTGTTTAAGTAATCCTTTTTAATAATGTACTTGGGATATTGAATAAGTTGTCTCAAGCTTTCTCACTAAAAAAGGGTAATGACTTGAGAGTTTGAACGTGTGCTTACGTATAATCTCTGTTGAGTAATGTTATAGTGTATGCATTCTGTAATAATTCTGTAATAAAGTCAATCAATTTGTTTACCAATCCCAATTCAACTAAGCCACAAGTCCTAATTCCACAGTGGCAGCAACCAAAAAAAAATGCTAAAAAAACAATTTCAATTACTAACTTTCTCAATGTACAAAGCCAATTCTTGCCTATTGCACAAAGACATAAGCAATCATAATTAATTAAAGGATAAAAATATAAATTTGTCCTGAAAGTTTTCACTCAGGAGCATTAGACCCAAAAGTTTTTTTGGATTTAATATTATCTTGAAAATTTAAAATCGTAACAATTTTGTCTTCTGTCATTAAAAATGTTAACGGTCAATGCTACTATGTTAACAATCAATATTAGTTTTTTAACGATAGGAGCAAAGTTGCTATAATTTTAAACTTCTGGAGCAATATTAAATCCCAAAAAAACTTTCAAGTACCCAACATTTTTGGATGAAAAATTTTAGGATAATTTTGCACATCAACCATTAATTAAAATGAATTCATTAGAAAATGAGTTGGCGTGCCCAACGCATGTCGGCATCCTCAATTTCCTTTTGAGGGAATATAATTGATCCTCAATGTCAAATATCTGTAAGTTAAGAACAATAAATACTTGAGGAACCTTCTTAAACAGTAAATACAACAACACTGAAGTCTTAAACAGAGTGGGTGAGAGAGTTATGATGCTTTTTTATTTTCCCGAGAAAATCTGTGAAACTGGAAGAAAATACATATTCTCTAGTCGTGGTTAATTGGCAAGTGAAACTACTTGCTTGCCAATGTTGAGACCCCTAAACACTCTCACCAAAGCCAAAGCTCCATTCTCAAGTCCTTCAACAATGTCTTCCACACAAGAAATCTTGCCTTCTTTAATATAAGGCAAAAGGAAGTCCAAATACTTGTGATAAAGATGGTAATAATCCACCACGTTGTAACCTTGCATACGAATCCTTTTGTAAATAAGAGATGTAATGTTAGTGATTCCTTCAGGCTTATCAAGAGTGTACTGAGATATCATTCCACACACAGCGATTCGACCATGCACTTTCATGTTCACAAGAACTGCATCCAGCATTTTGCCTCCAACAAGCTCGAAATATATGTCTATGCCTTCTGGGAAGTACCTATTAGCAGCGTTATTATTGTACAAAAATATAAAATCAGCTTGGCGAAAATTCTACTCCCTCTTATTCTAAATGTAGGAGCTAGGTAGTCGATTTACAAATGTATAATTGAATTCCTTAAAATATCCCCATTTAATCATTGTATTGAAGATTACATTGGTAGCTGATGAAATCCCTTTTAGCATGTGTAATTAATAGGATTGTTTGGGAGAATTAGAAATCTGAGAAACAAAAAGTATTAAGGTCTTATATTTAGAATCAAAATAAATCTCTCAACTAACTAGCTCCTATATTTAGAATCGGAGGAGGAATAGTGTTTCATTATAAGCAAAATAACCACACTTATCAAGAAAAAGAATAAACAAAGTAACCGTAAGGTTTTAAGTTATACTCCCTCTGATCATTATTATAAGTTTCAAATAACTAATTTACCGATAATGAATAATTAGTTAAAATTACTTGAAAACAATAAACATGTTAGAATATACTTTTGTTTCTAATTATGCTCTTATAATAAATGAGCAAAAAGATGAAAGAAATTGTGTAGGAAAATTTGAAAAGAGAGAAATAATTAAGGGTAACATTGGAAAATATGCATTAAATATTAAAACAAACCCAAATTGAAGCTTATAAAAAGGACCACACTTTTTTTCTAAATTTGAAGCTTATAGGAGGGAGTATTATTGAGACATACCTTTTCAAGGCTGCGTCCAAGTCAGGTTCTTCCTTATAGTTGAAAGCATCGTCAAACCCAAATTTATTCTTCACCAAATCAACCTATATTCCAAAACCATATCATTCAAAAAATTGACGGTTTGAAGAAAGTCCCCTGTAACTTTCTTTCATTTTATTTTCTCAATGTAAGAGACATATATGATTTGGACAGTTGACTAAATAATTAATAAATCACGGAACAGAGTACCTTGTCTTGAGAGCCAACACTCCCAACAACATAACAACCACTGAGTTTTGCAAACTGCCCCACAAGTTGACCCACAGCTCCTGCAGCCGCTGAGATGAACACTCTCTCCCCTCTCTTTGGAGCACACACATTAAAGAATCCTGCATAAGCTGTTAAACCCGGCATCCCTGTTATTCACAAACAAACAAATCCATAAGAACAAATCAAATGATGGATGGCAATAATTGGGTACAGTAGCACCCAATGCTGATGTTACTTTCCCAATTGCATTCAACCTCGTAATCTTATTAATAATGCATCCAACACACTAAATCATAAATAAGATTAAGATATTAAATGTAACTGGATAACATCATAGGATACTAGATGCATCAGCAAAATAACGTCTTTAATTAGACTAATCAAGGATCATATATAATTGCACCATAATATGAATTTACCAAGGATTCCAGTGTAATAGGATAACGGCACGTCGTCATCATCAGTGTTGTGGATTTTGAACAAGGTTTCAGGTGCAGTAATGAGTGTGTACTCTTCCCATCCAGTTATGCCCCACACCAAATCACCTTCTTTAAAATCTGGGTGCTTTGAATCCACAATTTTGGCCACTCCATATCCATATAGTGGCTGCATTAATGCAAATTTCATTCGTTATATCATCACTATCACTATAAGATATAAAAAGAGTAGCCACACATACCGTTGATATGTAAAAATAAATAAATAAATAAAAACAATGTACACACTAGTGCAAAATATAATTTTTTTTTTTTAACATCCCAGTGTTAAAGACTCTTTCTGCACCAATGATATTACCAAATTGTTTTTTTTTAATTTGGGCTATGTATAGATATTTTCCTATTTGTGGCAATCTTGTTCAATATACTATCGGGCATCAAATTTGAACATCTCTCCCAATAAATATTTGAACCTTAATTCACTGCATTATAGGAGACTAACTCCTTCAATTAGATCCAATTCTGTTTGGTTTTTACCAACACGTTTGTAAATGACTGCGCTAGTGTGGATGGTAATTTTTTTTTTTTGGGGCGGGGGGAGTACAATGGATGATATTGATAAATAACGAGGTACAAAAGCATATCTGTTTGGGCTATACCGTTATAGAACTTGGGACTGACAGCTAGAGTTGGGCTTTTGGGCCCTCAACGAATCGGATTCCTAATCTGATCCAATTTTGAAGAGAAGAATGATGGAGCCCATGTGAGCTTTGACCCAAGATTCACAAATCGACACCCAAGAACATCATCACCAACCTAACCAACTAAGAGTTAATCTATTTAGTAAGAAAACGATTCATAACTCATGAAATCTTGAGTTTGACTTCTACTATTAATGTGAGGATCTTGTTGATAAGTAATTTGTAAGCGTTTTATGAGCCTGAAAGTATCTCCTGGCTCTAATAAGCCTCAGACCCAATTCACCTTTTTTTTTTTTAATTTTAAAAAATACCAACTCAACGGACCAACTTCATTTTTATTTCTTTGAATAACTAAAAAGATTGAAAAATATAATATGTCATAATCAACATCAGCATATCCCAAGCAACTAGTCTTAATTTTGTTGGAAGGATCCACTTAATTAAAAAAAAAAAAAGGATGAAACTTACTGTTTTATCGTTATCTGTTCAGATTTTAACAGCAGGAAAAATACAGCTGGGGTTAGAAAAGATCCTATTCTTTTTCCCCCTCCAACATTTACTGTTTTCCGGGAAACCAAACAGATGACAGAGAAAGTGGAAGAAAACTTAAGATCATAGAAAAAGAAACTTACAGAACCGGGAGTGAAGGACCGCAAGACGCTGAAATTATCAGCCTTTTTCATCAAGGGTCGAAGGTGAGGATCAGCAGCCAAGAAAAGGTTTTTGACCAAAACGCCCTTGCAGGAGTTTTCTTCTGGAAGCTTCAGATTGATTCTACCAGTGCAAATCACTTCCATGTCTGATTCTTTGGGGAACCCAGAAACATAGTCTTTCAATATCAGTTTCTTGTTCGTCACCTCCATGATCCCAGTTTTTTCAGATTCAATTGAACTGTGTTTCTCCCTTGTGATGATCAGAATGAAGAAGGTGATAATATATATAAAAGGTTGTTCAGTCAATGGCCTTCTTGGAAACGCATGTGGGTATAATATTATATATATTGGATCACGATAAACCGATTATGCAGTTTAGGGTGAATTTGTCTAGATTTTTACAAACTGCGGTATGCTCTAAATTGAACAGGTGTGGAAGGAATATCTAATAACTTTACCATGCGCCACACCTCATAGATTCATAGGTTGAATTTGTCTAAACATTATCGTACTTGTTCTTTTGATATTTAACCATTATATTCCATCCTGTCACTGTATAAATCGACTTTTTTTTTTTTAACTCATTAAACTTTTCTGGAATCGAATTTTTTTTCCAAATCATTAAATAGGGTTGTGAAAGAGAGGAAAAAAATATAAGAAACCACATTTAAGCATCAATTATAGGGTGAAATTGACAAATAATTGTGGATCTATAAATTTTTGTAGAAGCAACGGTATGAAAACTATTTAAAAAATAAAATAAAATGTTAAGAAAATGAATTAAAAAATAAATAAATGTATGCATGGAACATGATAATAGCAACATGGTTAATTTCTTTTTCAAT